GGTATCTGGTCTGTCTTTCTGAGCTGTCAGGGCTGGAGGCGTCTCCCTACCTGTGCCTCATCTCAAGTCTAGCTGTATTCCATTCTTTCAGACCAGGGTATCCACCCTGAAGTCAATATTACAGGTCCTGTCACCAGAGCTACAGGAGCCCCCCACCTCGACCACTGCAAACTCCGTAATCCTGAGGCTCCTCAGAGCCACGCGGGGCATTTGGGGAAGGGGGTGTCAAGAAAAGAAGAGCCTTAGCATCCACCTTCACTTACCTCTTTTATTTCTAATAACAATAAATACAAACAGGATGCATTCTTTTCTGAGATACATTTTAATAAATAATTATTTTATAGAATTGAAATGTTTTATTACATGTTAATCTGGTTAACATGTACCTGCAAAAATGCTGATTTTATTTCTCACAGCCGATGACAAAAACCCACATTCCACTGATAGAGAAAGAAAGCACGTAGCTTATATGTGCAACGTGAGTAGCTTTCAGCACTATCCCCAAAAGGGGAAAAGGTCACTAAAACTCGATGCTCTTATAGGAGAAATGTCGACTAATGAAACTTGCAGTCACTGTCTTATCTATCATTGCCTTCGAAAGGAAACGGAGAATTAAATATTATAAATAAAATTCATTGAGAATAATTTCTTAGACTTTAAATGAGAAAGATATCAAATATTAAAAAAAGAATTAACACATACATTAATAACAAGTACAATGTGATAGCATTCTAAAATGTAAAGCAAAATTAGGTGGATACATGACTTTGAATCTATAATTTCACTTCCAACAACCAACTTGGCAAATACTATACAATTACACCATCACCTATACAGGCTCCCCAAAGGTGAGACGTGCCCTACATACTGCACTCTCAAATAAAAAATGCTTCATTGTTAACTTTTCCATATCCTAGCAACAAATGAAGTCGTATAAATGACCTACCCTAATTTCTTAGACTTTAAATGAGAAAGATATCAAATATTAAAAAAAGAATTAACACATACATTAATAACGAGTACAATGTGATGGCATTCTAAAATGTAAAATCCTAATGTAAATCCAAATAATTTCCTTCGAAGATGAAAAAAAGGTTGCAAAATGTACAATTACATCAAATCCATTCAGTAACAATATAACTGTAATAAATATATTTTGCTTCACATACTGGCTCAGCAGAATACCACTTTATTGAATGCCTTATCATATGCAGGCACTGTGCTAATTGCTAGGTCCAGAAACGATGCATATATGTCCCTGTTCCTAAGCACTTCCAATTAAATGAGGAAGACAGGCATGTAAAGAAATATTTACACAACAGTGTGATGCTCAGAGAACTGTACTACTCTCGTGATTCCAGCAACCGTGTTACCCATGGAACCAAATTCATCATTTGATGAGCTAGTTAGAGTTATGGTTGCAAATGTGGTCAAAGTTATTGAAATGAATAAAGCTACCTGACCTATAAAGTTTTTATAATAATGGAATTGTTTTATGGAAATATCGTATTCTGTCCAACTGGTTAACAGCACAGGATGAATCTCCAAACTTGGACTGCTATTACCACAAGTGTGGTCTTTATTGATTTGTGAGTAAATTGTCCTCATTAACTTCCAAGGATGTGACTGCTTTGGTTTCTATTTTATGTACACTTTTTAGGGTCTTTTTAAAAAAGTGTTTTAAAAATTCTGAAAACTATATCCGATGACAAATGATGGAGACATTAAAATTTGGCTTTAAAATTCCTCTCCCAGAAAATATGTTTGTGATTATGTTGATAGTAGAAGGACAGAGAGAGTAAGGCTCCAGCCGAAACTGGATTTCTAGGAGCTGGAGAGCTGGTTAAGGGAATGAGATGCCTGAATTATCAAAAGGTTCTGCAATGCTGGCCAGGTGCAACCCACCAAAAAGGTGAGAGAGACAGAAGAGGCAATTACATAGAAGCATGTCACCGGGCCTTTGTGGCGGGTTTTAAAGTGCTAAGCATTTAACAAGGGAAACGAGGCTCTGCCCTGAGAGAAGTGGGACACTGGCAGAGACAGCAACCTAGGACCAAGGGCTGGAAATTATTACAAAGAGGCAGAACTGCTTTTAATGTCAGGAAGAACTTGCTAATAGAACTGCTCAAAAATGGAGGTGGGGAGCTCTTTCTCCCTGAAAGCCCTGAATTAGAAATTTTAAAAAAATCATCGTTCAAGGATGTTTTAGAATTTAGAGGTGCTTTCTACACCAGGTTGAAAGCTGTATTAGATGCTCGGGTTATTTTGGTTATTTTAAGTTTCAGCATGATTTATGTAGTGTTATCTTTTGATGTGTGTAATAGTATCATCCTCTGATTATATCCCCTACTTAGATATTAAATTTAAGCATCACAGTGTCATCAATAATTTATTTATAAATACAGATATAAAGACATTCTTTCAAATCACACAATCTTTAACTAGAATCACTACATTTAGCTATATAGCTACATTTGGAGTGAAATGAGAACAACTCAGAAGAAAATTTTAGGTACTGGACTTTCAGTTTCTACTTACTGGATGACAAATGTGTGCCTATGGTAGACAGAAGGAAAACTCCTCATTAGCAGCTCACCATGAATGTAGCACCATTTACAGACTTTTTCCTGAGTAATTCAAAATAAAAAAGAACAAGTTTCCTTCAATAAGAATGCCCCTCCAAATGATGCAGTTTTAAGACTCAAATCCTATTTAAGTCGTAAGTATGCAGAAGCATTGAAATCAAGTGATGAAAATGCTGAATGAACTGAAGGAGGAAGCGATGAGTCACATATCACAAAACTATTAAGATAAAAATGAACATGTAAATAGAATGCAGAAATCTTTGGTTGTGCATTCCTGTGTAGGAATTTATTGGATTAATTATCTGCCACATGCCACAGCCTTTGATAATTTGTCTACTCTAAATATGGCTTTATAAAGTGAAGTAAAGTTGTTTCTTACGTTGAACAGAAATCTGCTTTCCTACAAATTCTAGCCTTTGTTGAGAGGCTGCCCTCTAGAGCTGCCTGTTAGAAGACATTTTTGAGTCTCATAAATTCGATTCTAAAGGGAAGAAAAGATCTTCCAAACACTGGATCCAATTAAACTAAGAACAGTGATCTAAAAGTATCATTATATGGTCAACAATACATCGAATCACTACATCGCATTTATTGCATCCAAATCTCAAAATGCACACAAATGCTTCCCTCTATACTTCATTCCGGATTACAAATCGTGTAACTTGAGCTCGGCACACTGAACACATATTCAGCCGCTCCTCCTGGTATCTGGGAAAAATGGAATTACGTGCCAGGGCCTCCTTCCATTCCCACACCAGAGCTGAATGCTATGGGAACGCAGTTACTTTGGATGACTCAAATACTCGTCCCATGCTCAGTCTCCCGGACAACACATGGACAAGAGGTGCTCCCCTTTTAAATCAAGTTTGAAGACCGCTCAGGGAATGTCCATTCGCTTTGAATTTACTCCATAAAAATGTTAAATGTAATCTTTTTTATATTTAATAATGCCACATGCCTACTTTCTATTTTAGACGATATTACAACACTAGAAATGTTTTGCGTGCATAATCCCAATGTAGTGGAGCGAGACAAATGATAAAGGAGGAGGAACGTGAGACAGCCTTTCCCCTCGAGGTTGAAAGCGACGTGGATAATGGCACAACCACTTTCTTCCACTGCGGCAGTGGCCGAAGGATGGTAATGAGAGGAAATCAGACTTGGGGGGAAAATGCTTCAGGTACAAGCCACTGGTAAAAGAATATTATGCCCTCTTCCCTGACCTGACAGGCAGGAAAACAGCTCCTTCTGGGGGTGCTGAGAACAGACATGAGATCAGTGAACCTGCACGATCCAGAAGGGAGGGCAAGGCCAGAATGGTACACATGGTTCTTGGACAGTGAAGCCATGGGGATTGACAAGATCAGAAAGATGTAACCAGCTGGCCAGTGTGGCTCAGCGGTTGGGCATCGACCGAGGATCCCAGAGATTGGGTTCGATTCCCGGTCAGGGCACATGCCCAGGTTGCGGGCTCCATCCCCAGCAGGAGGCATGCAGGAGGCAGCTGATCAGTGATTCTCTCATCACTGATGTTTCTCTCTCTCTCTCTCCCTCTCGGAAATCAATAAAATATATTATGAAAAAAAAAAAGAAAGATTGTAACCAATTCAATCATTGACCATGTGTCTGCGTGGTTGGGTTCTTGAGGATTTTTGAACACACAGAGCCAGAGCAGACAGATCAAATGAAAGTGCTATCTCCTAAGAAGATGCAAAATTAGAGAGATCAAAATCAACGACTCCCAGAGCCCAGCCCAGCGCGGGTGGCTGTGGTGCCAGGGAAAAAGGCCGGTAACTAAAGGAAACATCTGGGGACTCGTGGCTGGACAGATATAACTGATGAAGAGCACTCGGGTGCAGATGTGCAGGGATGGCAGGAAGAAAAAGTGATTAACAAGTGCCTGCAGCAACTGTAGAAGCTAAGGCAGAAAGCCTTGTTCCTTAGAAAATATACTAGACCAAATGCAGAGGGAGCAACCCAGGCCTTGACTACAGGATGTTTCATTACCAGAAACATTACCATTAATCGATGGGCAAAGAGAAGGATGGTAGAAATCAAGATGATACAATAATAAAACAAGATCAGGAAGAGATCTTGAGTCAGTGATCAAAACATTTTAAATATAATTTTATATATATATATATATATATATATATATGCTTAAACAGTTCAGTAAGTCCACATATGCATAGGTCACCCACTGTTATGGTCTTAATTTGTTTTCAAAGCCACACACACACACATGCCAGAGATAGAGACAGAGAGAGATAGAGACAGAGATAGATAGATGATGATAGATAGATAGATAGATAGATAGATAGATAGATAGATGATAGGTGATGATAGATAGATAGATAGATGATAGATGATAGATAGATAGATAGATAGATAGATAGATAGATAGATAGATAGATAGATAGATAAGAAAGATAAGAAGAGGAAAGGGCAGGACCAAATAAGGTAGGCAGGGAGGAAGGCCACCAATTCTACAGAATACTTTTTATGCAACTGACTAGAGACATTCCCTGATTTTGAAATTACATGATAATATGGTCTAATATCCTATTTTATTTTGAAAAATATATTTGAAACTTATGACTGCATACATTTACATGGTAAAATAAAAGAACCTTCACTTAGGTATATTTCCACTTTGGAACATACTTCTAAAGAATATGTATGTTTACATCAGATTAACATTTACTACAGAGTGTGGGAAGCTACATTTGATTCCAGAGAAATCTGCTCTGCACATTACCTGAGCTATAAATAGGGGGTCTTAAAAGCTAAAGTGCTTATGTCTTTTAAACTGATTAAAAAAACATATCTTTCTGCAAAGCAGAATCATCCTAGCTTAGAACTAGGATGATTAATTCTTCCCTTGTTTGAGTTAAAGGTGGCTAAACGTCTAAACAGAGGTTGGTTGTGAATACTACTATCAATACCAAAAGCCCAGTCATTTGTTTTAAACTTAGAAAATAATTCACTATGAATAATTTACTAAAGTAGTAAACCAACATGGTGATTTACAGTTGGTACATACCATCACAGGAAACTGATATGGAGCTAATTTAAATGCTGAAATTCCTAATTGCAACACAAATTTGAACATTTAATAGTTCAAGAAATGCAAAAATAATGATCCACTTATCTAGAGCTCAGATTTTCTATATCCTCAATTATGTTGGAACCTGGCAATGATAGAGAAAAAGTATTTTAGTATTTCCATTCAAGAATCCAAGAACTTCAAATGGGTTACATGTTAAGATAAACTCAGGTCAGTGTAACTTAGAACTAATGATTAAATCAAGAATGTTAATTTACTGAGCTTGAACCAGAAAATAAGGGAGATATGATATTGCTAGACATCGAAGCCAACTACCGCTGAGTACTAATAGCAACAGCAATTTTAAAAGCATTTCAGTAACTGCTGGTAGCATTATGAAAGTATCACATGGTACATTATGCTCTTAATGAGGAGCTGAATCATAAAAGTAGTTGAATTATTTAAAAAAGTTAAACCATGTTTAGTGTGCAGTTTAGAAGGCTGGGGAAACACATGGCGTTTTAGAAAAATTTCTGACCAAAATAATGGTGAAAGAAAAACAGTATTTAAGAGAAGCTAACCATGATCAGAAAGGAAAGGAATTCAACAACTCTTATACCTGTAGTAACCAGGTAGGATTCTCACCTTCCTAATTTATAATTTCACTTCATATAATATAGAGTGCGCACAATTCATTTTTATTTCCTAAAGAGATTTCTCCCATCTACATAGTACAAATCTGTGGACTTTGATTTGCTTTTACTAGTTTATCATGGATAAAGCACTTTAAAAATTAAAACATTAAAGCCTATGAGTTTTATTTACATATGAAAATACTAAGTATTCTGGATTCCCCAAGATTACATTATATTTAGTATTTTTTGGTAAAATGTATTTTGTATCGTAAGTTTATGGAAACTGCTAATTCTTACATAGTGTACATTCATAGTAATTCTCTAACAGAAGGTACATTTTAATTTACTTAAGGTGTAAAGACCTTTTTCACCAACTGTTACTGTTAACAAATTTACCGTAGGTTTCTAGAACCTACATAGTTTTACAACAACTAAGCACACACTGCTTTTAGAAATTAGAAAACCACGGGTCCCTATATTTATTAAACTGAATCACCTGGCAGTAGAATTCGGTTAAGGCTCTTGGCATCGGTGACACTTCCTCCCACTCTGACCTGCTGCTGTGGTAGACCTGCACCTCGTCTGTGATCTCATCGGGTGCATAATCACCACCCAATATGTAGATTTTATCTTCAATTCCAACCGCACCCGCGTTAAAGCCTGCGCATTCAAAAGACCCCTCGCCCTTCCACACACAAGTATCTGGACAAAAGCTGTACACCTTATAGGTAGAAAGGTCACATATATACAGCGTACAGTTGACCGGCACAGCTTTAATTAGTGTGGCATGAAAAAATTGCCCAAACTCTGCTACTAACTCAGACCACTGATCAGTTTTGGCGTCGTATTTAAAAAAGCAATCAAGGGATGGGTTGAAGGCATCGGTGATCTCGACCTCCGACCCCAGCACATAAATCACACTTTGGCACGCGCTCGCTTCGGGGTAGTAGATGCCCCTGGGTAGCGGGCTGACGGACACCCATTCTTTGGAGAGAGGGTTGTAAGACTCAACATCTAAGAGACTTTTAATGGCCTGAGATCCTGTGGTCTTTCCACCGATGACAAACAGCCTGTGGAGGGCCATGACGGACGCGTGCATGGTTCTCGGCGTCTTCATGGCCGCGGCGGGGCAGAAGTCGTTCCGGGCGGGGCAGTAGCACCAGGCCTGGTCGGTGGCGTCGTGGTGGGCCCCGGCGATGTGCAGCCGCACGGTTCTGCAGCACGGCCCCTTGCAGCCGCCCGTCAGGAACAGCTTCTCTCCGTAGCTCACCAGGCTAGAGCCCGGCAGGTCCCGCAGGCGCGACTGCGGCAGGACCTTCCACGAGTCGGCTTTGATGTTGTAGCAAAACGTGTGCTGGTGGTCTCCGTTTTCCTCCGTTTTGTGGACGAATATGTATTTCTCGGTGGTGGCCGGGCGGGCGTCGGGGAAGAGGCCGCCGGCGCCCC